AACCCATCCAAGGTCCGGTATGTGACTATTGGAGTCTGCAGCTTATTAAAGTTATCTGTGTTGACCTTGGTCACTTCAATCCTTGTCGAGAAGAGTCGCGTGGCATTGGTAACATTGCACGGATGATTTATTCAAGGTTTCCGTCTCATCGCGCGAGAATGGGATCCCAAGTCGGCATTTTTGCAGCATCTTAAGAAAATGTTCGTCGTTCTGTCGATGGATCTGTTTCAAGTCCACATGTGCAAATTTACATTCTTCCCACGCCTTGCTCATGAACGCCCATTTCTCGTTCTCCTTGAATGGCCCATGATTCTGACGGCAGTTGAACTCGGCTTCGTAATCGTCCGCCTCCATCTCCTGTCCGCAGACGATGCAACGTTGGAAGGGCTTCACTGGAGGCAGTTGGCAGAAGTCGCCTGTCACGACGACCTGTGCTCCGCCAAACGGTGCCGGAGTGTCCTGCCTCCATCGCCTGGCCTCTTTCATACAGATGTTCATACGCTCCAGGTGATGGTTCTCGACCATACTTATCTCGTCGATAATGAGCACGTCGGTGCTCTTGAGACGTCGCCGGATGTGCTTGCGGAACGCTGAAGTTATCAGCTTCCCTATCGGAAGCTTGTGGTGATCGGGCGTCCACCCCATGTAGGACCACGTCGACACACCGCTGACCTGGAGGGCTGCTCGGCCAGTTGGCGCTAGGATGTGGACGATTAGGCCCATGGCTTGGAGCCTCATAACAGCAGCCTTCAGGACAGTGGACTTGCCACATCCTGCCGAGCCTGGGAAGAAGACATTGCGACCGCTAGCAATCAGATCGACCACGTCTTGCTGCTCCTGGCACAGGTTGGGTTCGGCGTTATCGAACCGTTCTTCCCCCCGAGCTGAGGAGTCTCCTTGGTTCTCGTGTGGCTGGATACCACTGCCTGCAATTTGCAGCGGTTTGACCTGTTCATCGGCCGGCGCATGCGCCCGCTGCGCATCGCGTTGGTCAAGGTGTGGGGCCCACAGCAGCCCAACTAAAGGCCTTCGCCCTTTAGTTCGCGCAAAAAATGCGGGACATCACAAAACCACCGGGACAGTGGCCGACGTTCAAGATACCCAGCCAACAGCTTTCAATACGCGATTTCTCACGCAATACGGTCAAAACATGGTAATCTTCTGGGGTTTTGCATCATGTCCTTCAGCGAAAAAACACTACAGGCTGCACGAGCCGTCCTCACATCACGCAATCCCCCTAGGGACGATCTTCGTCGCACCACAACACCACAGAGAAACCCCCTTTCCGTACGAGATGCGGCCTCTGCGTACAAAGTCAGTAAGTCTGCGGTACAGAGAGCTGTTGATTTCCTAGGAAACCCCCTTCCGCGGGGGCGAGGACGCCCAATGGCGTTGACAGACGATGAAGATGACGCCTTAGTGGCGTACGTGCAATGGATGGGACGCACAGCCCATGCCGGCTACAAGAGAACAACTTGAAGGCGCTGCAAATACGATTAGATTACGTCGGAATCCCAATTCCAGTGGTGTTTCACCAAATTGGCTTACTGGCTGGCGAAGGAACCATCCAGAGATCACGCAAACATACCTCAAGGCCGTGGAGCGATCACGGAAAGCCTTCGAAGCCCAGGGACTTGAAGACGTCGAACTGTTCTATTCTCAACTCCAGGCAACTATATTGAAGTTGCGTATCGGCGCCTCAGAGATGTGGAATGAAGACGAGGCCGGAATGCGCATCGGTTGCTTGCGGGAACGCGTCCAAGTCCTTGTCACTCGCACCTCCAGGCATAAAGCTCCCCGGCCGGAAGTTCTAGACCCAGCCAATCGGGAATCCTGCACAGTAAT